GTTTGAAAATTTAGTATTGAACAAAATCATTGTCATTCTAACAATATGTATACCATTATTTTCCAACTTCAACACTATTTAATTTGGATCAAAATAAAAATATAGTAACATGAGTAATAAGTAAGTTTTGTTATGCAAATCGGCCTAAGCTTTAGGCGGCACTTAGGTGTAGGGTGTGCAAACTCAATCCCACGAGGTTCCAAGTTTAAAATATAAGTTTGGTGGGCTACTCCTTCTATGGTCAATTGGTTTTAGAATGGAACGCCATTTGGACTTGTATGTTGGGATTGATGGGGAACTGAGTTTTGAGTTGTTGGTCCTAACAATTGGTATCAGAGCCACGGTTGGTAGCCCAATTACGATATGGATGACGTGGCATGTTCCCCGTGTGAGCCAGTGGGCGGTTGGTGGATCCGTGTGCCTTGCGTCGAAGACGTGGCATGCTCCCCGTGTGAGCCAGTGGGCGGCTAGTGGATCCGTGTGTCTTGTGTCGAAAGTCTTCCTGGCGAAAGGGTGGTCAGACGGCGGGTTCCTTGGGTGATAACGAAGGTACAAGATGGTCGGATCGTATGAATTCTGTTCAAGGGTAAGTCCAATGTGGTCTTTTTTTGAGGGAAGGTTTGTAGGGTGTGCAAACTCAATCCCACATCGAAAAATTAAAGGTTCAAAGTTTAATATATAAGCTTGACGGGCTACTCGTTCTATTGCCAATTTATTTTAGAATAGAATCCCATTTGGGCTTGTATGTTGGGTTTGATGGAGAACTGGGTTTTGAGTTGTCGGTCCTTAAACTAGGTGCCACGACTTAAAGTTCGAATCTTGCTTTCAATTTCTTTAAATTGCACTAATTAGCTTAAATCAGCCAAATACTTGTTTAGTAGAAAGTTTATAAACTTCTATTTTCCCTTTTTTTTTTTTGTGAATCAGCCATTGCTTGAAATGGATTCTGAATAACCTTCCTCAAGAGACACGACACGATGTCGGGGTTTATCTCGTACTCGACCAAACACTACAAATATTTATCGATTAATTTTACTACACTTTTATTGTATAAATCACTCATAAAATATCAACTATCATATTGAAATCAAATGGCTATAAGTTAACTTATCAACTACCAAACTTCAACTCACCATATATTAGTTAACTTTATCACACACAATGGATGATTTCATATTGGGAATCGTGTTTCACATGAACACAAATCATTATATTTATTCACGCTTATATATTTGGCATAAGGAAACAATTTATTTGTGAAAAAAGGGCATATCCGCACCAAAATGAACCTTTTATCTATTCATGGTCATTTCCAGATTTCGAGTCAGAACCGCCGGTATTTGGTCCAAGGGTCAGAGGGCCTTGAACCGTCCAGAACATATGCTCGGCTGTTTCAGTGAATCGGCGATTTCGAGCCGATTCAGTAGACTGGCGGTACCGAGCCGACCCAGTTCAATTAAAAAAGTAGAAAAAAAACATTTTAATTTTTTTAAAAACAATGGCCAACCGCCGATTTCGACTTTGGTTTGGAACCGTACCGACGGTTATAAAAAAAAAAAAAGTTGCCCGGAACTAGTCTGGTCAAACCACGGGCCCGCCCATGACCATGTCTACTTTTATCCACTAAAGATAATCATATAATTTTAACTAATCTAAAAGGATTTGGATTTGGCAAATCTAAAAGGATTTAATTTTTAAAATTATCCACCTATAAATAGTTTTCGGTGTGCTGAGTCTAAGTGGCGATCTCGTATGCTTCATATTATATTCTCAAATAATTTTATTTTATGTTTTTAATTTATCCACCTATAAATAGTTTTCAGTGTGCAGAGCCCAAGTGTCGAACTCGTGTACTTCATATTCTATGTAGCAAAAAAAATAATGCTTCAAGTGCTACTTAAAAATAAGTTAAGACACTTTATATATATATATATATAGGGTTCGGTTCACATGAGAATGATGTTTGGTGAAAGAAATAAGAATGGATCCTAGCCATTAGATCATACAATCTAATGACTAAAAAAAAGTCAAAATTATACCATCACTAAGGGTAATGTACTAATTTTTCATACATAAATAATGAGACCCATGCCTCTCACCTGCTTATCTCTCTCTTTCCATCTCTCTCCTACACACACTAAAATCTGCCACGTCCCCACCTTTACACACTAAACACACACCCCACACCACACGCACCCACACACCTAACACACGCACACACGCACGTCACACACATATACACACATTATCACACACACAGAACAATTAATTTACACCCACAATGCACAATTAATTTAAACACACAAACTCACACACACACACACAGTAACGGTGGAACCGCCGGATCTCCTCGCCGGAGTGCCCGACCTCCACGCCGGCTCCGGCGAACCTCCATCCAGACTCTTACGCACAGAGCAGCCGACGGCCGCTCTTCCATGGCGGTTTTCCAGCGACCATTGGACTGCATACATGGAGTTCGTCGGACTGCACATCCGCCGGAGAAGACAACCACATCGCCTCGCCAGAGGACTCCGTCGCCAGCCGTCTCCCTCGACATATGTATGCTCGCCGGAATCGAAACAGAGATGACGTCGTTGAGGAGGATGCCGGCCATGGGGACGCCAACTGGAGCCCGTGCGTCGCTGAGATGTTGGAGGAGGTGACTGAGACGGCGGAGCTGCTGTGGAGGTGTAGGGCGGATATATTATAGGGGTGACTAAGACGACTCCCGCCGGCTTCAATGTCGTCGAACACATTCAACCGCCGGATATTAGAGTCGGTGGAAACTTCGAACAGTGCCTTGCAGGAATCTCGCGCCCTCACCGGCGGGAGTGATAGTGGTGATACCGGCAACGGGAGTGATGGAGTGAGGGAGAGGATTTTGTTTGAGAATTAGATTATGTTTAGGGGCTTATTTGTAAATTTAGTAAGTTCATTTATATTTCAATTTAACCTATGGGTCAAATCTATAATTTCTAGAAAGTATATAAAAGTATTATATTTTTATTTATCTCTAAAATATATTAAATAATAAATAAAATTAGATAAAAATATTAAAATATTATTATACATATTGCACATTATTGACTAACGAGTTGCACTTTAGTGTCACTAAGATTGCACTTTAACATAACAAATGTACGATAGTGTTAATTAAATTAATACTATAAATTATTAAATACAAAAATTATAAATACTAAAATATATTTTTACTACACAAATAATTTGATAAATGTACAATAATTTTAATTAAAATATACATTATTAATTTTTTTTTTAAATTTAAACGCACGTTAGTATTCAGTTTCGATTTGGTTGGGACTAAAGTTCTGTCATTTCACAATGCACAATATCGGCAAAAAAACCGTGCACATTAATACTGTAATGTTGCACTTTTGTGTATGTGGTATTGCACTTTTGCGTATGTGATATTGCACTTCAACATATGTACCGACCTAAATAAAACGAAAAATATTTCTCCGTACGGTTTATATATGTTGGTTCGTTGATAATTCTTTATTCTTTTAAAATAATGGTTATTTCGATTCGACTTTGGCTCAGTTTTAATATCAACCGGCAGAACTATATATATACAAGTAACGATAGAATAAACCGATTATGTCAGTTCAATTTTAGTTTGTTCGGTGCTAATCATAAAAAATAAGTACATTATAAGTGCACGATAGTGTTAAAAGAGTTGCACCTTAATGAATATCAAATTGCACAACATCGACCGAAACCAGAAGAATTAAGTTTTTTGATTGAAATTCTATATTTGTAATTGATTAGTTGTATTTATTTTAAAATCACGGATAGTTTATTTCGACGGCTTTATTTTTTATAAGAACTAAAATAACCGAAACGACCGACATATATGAAAAAATATTATTATTATTATTAAATATTTGTATGGATGACGAGTGCATTTTATGGTTATACAAATTGCACATTAGTAACTATTAGATTGCACTTTAGTGACTATTAAATTGCACAAAATCGAACGACCTCGACCAAACTAAAATTTTTAGTTCGAGCATTTTAATTTCAAATCAATTGTCAATTTTTTACTCGGTTATGTCAATTTAATATCGGAGTTTTTTTTATTACTTAAATAGATGAACTATGTGAAAAAATATTATTCATTTTATTAATATAGTTTTTATGTAAAATATTATCAAATTTCAAACATAAAAAAAATAAAAATATTAGATATTAAATATAAATGGTATAATATTAATAATAGTTTAATTAATTATAATTTCACCCATGAACTAAAGTGCAATATATAAAAAATGCTAAAATTGCATCAAGACCCCCTAGATCTTATCAAATTCACAAAAAAAAAGCCCTTCTACATAACTTTGGAAAATCTGATGAATATTAGACCTGTTCATCTCCATCCATCAGAGAACCTCAGCCTGCGGCACCGTTGGACCTTCTCCGGCCGCCGTTCGTACGCCACCGCCGTCGTCGCCTTCCGTCGACCACCACACAATCACCAACCGCCGAAAAAGAGGACGCTACCGACGACGACGTCGGCCATCGATGAACGTCTGTTGCAGCGGAGTTCGGCCATTGTTGTCATGGTCGCCGGCGAACTCGCCATCCGGGCATTGTTGTTGAGGTCGAAGTGGTCGATGATGGTGGCGCTGTGAAGATCGGTCGAAGCGATTCAGTATCGGGCGATGGCGGGGCGGTCGAAGGCGACGGTCAGAGGCGACGGGCGGTGGCTTGGTGCTGTGGTGCTGCCGTCTGTGTGTGTGAACTGTGTGCTGCGTGAAAAAGGAAGAGATTTTATGGGTGTGTTTTTGTCTGTGCGAGAGATTGGTGGAGAAGGGTTATTAAGGTGGGCCCACTTAATTATGGTGAAAATTAAAAATACACAAGTGTCCTTTGATGTGTCCATTTGGCCATGGAATATACATATATTTACAACTATGCCATAATGTTTTGACCAGATTTATTAATATTTGACTTCATCTTGTTCATTGATATCATTGATCTGATGGTGCAGATTCATTCTTATTTCTTTCACTATTTACCATTCTCATATGACCCCTTCTCTCTCTCTCTCTCTCTCTCTCTCTCTCTCTCTCTATATATATATATATATATATATATATATATATATGATGTGGTTCAAATGAGAACCAAGTCCTAGCGTGAGAAACGTGAGAACCGTTATGATTAATTATGTTTTAGTGCTATTTTTAACATAGATTTATTTTATTAAAATTTGCAACACGATTTATATTAGCATTTGTAAAAATGATAGCACCATATGTGTTAAAAATAACTTCATACACAATTATAAATAGTATGAAATATGGTTCTCACGGTTCTCACACCAACACTAATTTTTATTTGAACCAACCCCTATATATATAAACTTGAATCTCCAGCTGCGTAACCGAGACTGTCATTTAGATAGGATATAGATAGATAAAAAAATTCCGAGTTCCTTGAACTGTTTGGAAACTAAACTGGTGGGATCAAAACTGGTGGCATGTTAGGCCTGGTTTCTCTTTTGACATCGCGATCGTGATGGAAAATATGATTTGCACAAGCTCATATCACTCAAATCACGAAAATTGAAATTTTGAATTATGCTTTTTCCTCACTCAACAAACACGTTAAACAATATTATAATTATGAAGGGGAACTATATTATGAGCTAAAAATACTTTTTCGTATATAATTTAAATTTATTATAACATGTAATTATGCAAAGATGTCTCTTTCTACTAGTAACTTTTAACAATAGTAATTAAATATATCTTTCCAACTTTTGATTATAATATATATATATATATATATACATATATATGTATGTATGTATATACAAATAACATTTCAAAAAAATAATTACACAATTAAAAATGGATGCCATCATTCTTAATTTGAAAAACATGACTCTTGTTGCTAACTTTTTCAATAATATAGCCGTTATAGCATCGAAATATTTTTATATATTTATACTAGTAACTTTTAACAATAGTAACTAAATATATGTCCAACTTTTGGTTATAATAAGATATATATATATATATATATATTTATATATATATATATATATACACAAATAATATTTCAACAAAAACAAAATATTATATAATTAAAAATTGATGTCATCATTCTTAATTTGAAAAGTTGACTATTGTTGTCAACTTTTTCAAAGATGCACAGAGTATAGCATCGAAATACTTCTATATAAACCCAATATACCCAACGCAAAACTCATCCATTGGCAAAAGGAAATTGAACTACTGGTTTTAGTCATATGGCGACTCTACAATGTTTTATTTTGTCCTCATTCCATATTCTATTTTACTCGTCAATTTTATTAATGTTAATTTCAAGTTCTCCAAATAAAATTCGGGCTTCACAAACTCAGTTTCATATCTTGGATATTACATCCCAGCTCTCGGCTAATGTGTGCAGTTCAACTATCCCTCTTGGTATTATATTTTCTTTATTTTCAATTATTTATTGTTTACTAGAATTTATGTTTGTAGAAGTGGCGTAGTTAATATAGAATGATCTCAAAACTAAATTACGATAGTTGTTGATTTTTTGTTTTTTGTTTTTTTTTAAAAAAAAAAAGAAAAACGAATCAAAGAGTTCCAACCAAATTCATGAATATTGTGCAGGTATGAAGAATAGGCACTCATCATTATCAGTATTGGAACTCGTCCAGACGCACAGTCCATGCGCTGACGAGAAGCAGCTCATGAATCCAAGAAAACCAACCACACATGATGTTGCTCGCACTCCTGTCAGCCCTGCCGATTCCACGGGCAAATTCCAATTTTACATCGACCACATCGTCACCATGGGCTTCGGCACGCCAGAGAAAATGATGTCCCTCATTTTGGACACCAGCAGCGACCTGACGTGGATTCAATGCAACACGTGCCCCAATAAGACGTGCCGTAAACAGGAAGGCTCATTATTCAACCCCTCCATGTCCAGTTCCTACTCCCACATCCCCTGCAAATCAACTCAATGCTCTATCATGGAACCCGACACCCCTTCTGGCCCCATCTGCTCCAAAACTGGCAATTGCATCTACGATCTCACAGACAGCGATGGCAATGAAATTAAAGGCGACTTCAGCAGGGACACACTTACAATTGCACCAAACATTTTAGTCCATGATTTCAAGTTCGGTTGTACCTATTCTACTAAAGGAACGTTTGGACTTGAAGCTGGATTATTGGCCCTCGGCAGATCCAACACGTCCATAGTTTCCCAAACTGCTAATAAATTTAATCAATGTTTCTCCTACTGCTTCCCTTCCAGCTCATCCTCCAAAGGCTTCCTGACACTCGGAAAAGATAACAGTTTTACCAAAATATTTACCCCTTTGATTATTAGATCAGAATACCCATATATGTATTTCATCAACATTATCGCAATATCGGTGGACGGCCGCGACATAAAATACAACCCAAATGCTTTCTTGAGCTCTGGAAACACCTACATAGACTCGAGCATAGCCATCACCGAACTCCCATCTGCTGTATATAATCCGTTCAGCACCGAATTCAGGTGGCTTATGCTCAACAAATACAGATACAAGAAGGCAAAACCGCCGTCTGATGGCTCATCCCTCGACATTTGTTTTGTTCCTCATAAAACAAATAATTCTATCCCATCTGTGTCATTCACCTTTAAGAATAACGTGAAAGTCAATTTGGATTTTTTCGGGATAGTTAGAGTTTACAACGCATCGCTAATGTGCCTTGCGTTCACCAGCGTTGACGATAATATGGCTACTTTCGGCATTACGCAGCAGAAAACATTCGAGGTAGTGTACGATGTTGGCGGCCATAAATTATGGTTCATCCCAAATAGGTGTTAATCACTAGTTTCAGTGCGTTCCAAATGCGCTCATCATCTCACCTCTGACTGTAAGGGGAGATTTCTTTTAATTCCAACATGCCTGCAAGTTAGCTCTTTGTATAAATCAAAGGTCGGAAATTGTGGGTTAATAAAAGTATGTTTTGCTACTTTTCTTTTTTTTTTCTAACTGTATCGGTTTTATAGAGTCACTAAAGTTTGAAGTAAATTTTAGATTTACTTTCTTTTGCAGAAGGATTGTACTTTTTTTTT